GTGCTTGCTCTAAGGAAGTGGAAAAGTGAGATGCATAGAATGGGAAAGTATTCACAGAAACTAGCACATAGTGTAATCTTGAGAGCTGAAAGAGAAAATTATAGGATGGATATGGTTTTTGTGATTTAAAATGATTACTTTTAAGAATTAATTATTGGATTTTTAAATAAATCATAAAGCCAGGAAAGCACTAGGTGTCACCAGAAACAGTAGCTAACACAGTCTACAAGCATTCATATTGGCTGGTATCTGGCATGTTTGCTAAGACAGACAACACAGTGGCTGAAGGCTGCAGAGGGAATACTAATATTGCAAACCCAGAGAAAGTCAGATAAGAAAGGGGCACTGGAGGGGACACAGAAGCCTGACTACCTGTTGTGTAGTGTTTGGAAATAAAAGGAAAACGAGAGTGTCAAAAATAAGATTGATCTTGAGTCAGAAAGCATGCAAACTGAATGAAGAACAAATTAGGAATTGGGGTTGTACATTTTTATAAAATCTTGAAATATAACAAAAAACGTTATCATTATCTAGATTGATGTTTCCCAAGCCTAATCACATCAATATCAGCCAGATTTAAATATTAGCTTACTTAAATGATTATTTAAATGTTTCCTAAGCAACTGAAACTGAATACATTCAAAATATCACTTTGTTTACTCCATCTTAAAACATATTGTCTCATACTCAAAAATGGCATGGCTGTTGCCCTAATCAAAATAAATCCCCCATCTATCATTCTGTCATATATAACTTATGTAACTTATTACATAAATTATGTTGAGGAGAGCATCTTGTTTCTGCTCCAGACTCTCAATGTCACCATTTTTTGATCCTGAGTTTCTCCATTTTAGCCGAAGCCCACATTATTTTATATCAGAAGTCCCATATCAACCTCTAAACTCATTTTTTATTGTTATTTTAAAATTTCTATTGCTGCCCTGCCTTGGGCTTTTTCAATCCTATAGTACATTATCTTTATAACAACAAGAGTAATCTTTTTAAATAAAGCTAATAATGTTATTCACCTATCTTAAGATGTTGTCATGGCTTACAGTTAAAGGTCTGCAGGTCTCTGTTGAGCTGCGGACATGGGCCTGTCTCCTGCAGAATGGGGTTTGTTAAAGTTGTGAAGAATAAGGCCTACCTTAAAAGACACCAAGTGAAATTTAGAAGACGATGAGACGGTAAAATGGATTACTACGCTCTGAAATGCTTGGTGATACAGGATAAAAATAAATACAACATGCCCAAATACAGGAAGATAGTTTGTATAACAAACAGAGATATCATTTGTCAGATTGCTTTTGCCTGTATAGAGGAGGATACGATATTCTGCACAGCATATGCACACAAACTGCCAAAATGTGCTGTGAAGGCTGGCCTGACAAATTCTGCTGCAGTGTATTGTACTGGCCTGCTGACGGACTGTAGGCTTCTCAATAGGTTTGGCATGGACAAGATCTATAAAGGTCAAGCGGTAGAGACTGGTGATGATTACCATGTGGAAAGCATTGATGGTCAGCCAGGTGCCTTTACCTGCTATTTGGATGCAGGCCTTGCCAGAACTACCACTGGCTATAAAGCTTTGGTGCCCCGAAGGGAGCTGTGGATGGAGGCTTGCCTATCCCACACAGTACCAAACGATTCCCTGGTCATGATTCTGAAAGCAAGGAATTTAATGTAGAAGTACACTGTAAGTGTATCATGGGCCAGAATTTTGCAGATGACATGTTCTACTTAATGAAGAAGATGAAGATGCTTACAAGAAGCAGTTCCCTCTATACATAAAGAACAGCCTAACTCCAGACATGATGGAGGAGATATATAAGAAAGCTTATGCAGCTATACGAGAGAATCTAGTCTATGAAACGAAGCCCAAGAAAGAAGTTCAAACGCAAAGGTGGAAACTGCTAAAATTAAAAAAGACCTTCCCTTAACATACCATGTGAAAATATTCCCCCAAGTTATCATAATGTATTTTCTTTTTAAATTTATTTATTATACTTATTGCAGTGTGCAATAATCTTGTTTATATGTTTGTTTACCAGGTTTTTGTATGTTTCCTGTCATTGGACTAGCAGGTCCATAAGAGGGATAAGCAATGTATCTGAAGTTTGCATGTTGCCCGAGTAAGGTATTCAATAAACAGGTGTAAATAAATAAATAAGGTGATTATTTTTAAAAACAAGAAAAAGTGTGATGTTTGGTTTCAGAATCAAACTGAGATTAGATATTAACAATGTTAGGAATTATTTTGGTTCATTTCATTCTTTTTTCACACTACAGCATAGTTTTCTACTTTTCTATTTATCTTTTTTTCAGGAGAAAATAATGTAAACAGCTCTGGGATTTTAAAATTCAGGCATTTTTAATAATATTGTGTTAACCCACTGAAATGTAACTCCACATTTTTAGATAAGGGACTATGATAGAATTTCTTTGGGTCAGGTGCCCACACCAGTGGAACTATAAATTATGGCAGAGAAGGCACTCTAATTGCCTCAGTTAGGGGTAGGTGATCATCCTAAATTTATAAAGAACTCAACGGGAATATTTAGACATGTTAAAATAGCACTTAAATTGTGTCAGTTATGAGCATTGTAGTTTTCACAGAAAATCTCTAAATAATAATACTCATGCTTATTACAGTAATGAAAATATTAAAAATATTAAGATGAATAAAAAATCAACTAAAAAGCAGTTATACTTTATGTTGTAAAAATTATATATAATTATATAATAATATAATTATAATTATATAATATATGCTCAACATAAATAATATATAAATAAAAATTGTGATTAAACATAAAATACAATGTGAAAACTATGAGGAGTGGTCCAAACTTATGAAAGAACGACCAAAAAAAAGAAATGAGAAAGAAGGAACAGAAAGTAGTACTCAGTAAAGCATAATGTCATGAAATTACAAAAACGAAATTTCCACCAATATGACGTTATTTATTTATTTATTTATTTTTTCCCCATTTATTTATTTTATTGCATTTTAGGTTTTGGGGTACATGTGAAGAACATGCAAAATTGTTGCATAGGAACACACGTGGCAGTGTGATTTGCTGCCTTCCTCCCCATCACCTACATCTGGCATTTCTCCCCTTGCTATCTCTCCTCAGCTTCCCACCCCCCACCCTCCCTCCCCTATTTCCCCCCAACTGACCCCAGTGTGTAGTGCTCCCCTTCCTGTGTCCATGTGTTCTCATTGTTTAACACCCGCCTATGAGTGAGAACATGCGGTGTTTGATCTTCTGCTCTTCTGTCAGTTTGCTGAGAATGATGGTTTCCAGGTTCATCCATGTCCCTACAAAGGACACAAACTCATCCTTTTTGATGGCTGCATAATATTCCATGGTGTATATGTGCCACATTTTCCCTATCCAGTCTATCGTCGATGGGCATTTGGGTTGGTTCCAGGTCTTTGCTATTGTAAACAGTGCTGCAATGAACATTCGTGTACACATGTCCTTATAGTAGAACGATTTGTAATCCTTTGGACATATACCCAGTAATGGGATTGCTGGGTCAAATGGAATTTCTATTTCTAGGTCCTTGAGGAATCGCCACACTGTCTTCCACAATGGTTGAACTAATTTACACTCCCACCAACAGTGCAAAAGTGTTCCTATTTCTCCACATCCTCTCCAGCATCTGTTGTCTCCAGATTTTTTAATGATCGCCATTCTAACCGGCGTGAGATGGTATCTCAGTGTAGTTTTGATTTGCATTTCTCTGATGACCAGTGATGATGAGCATTTTTTCATATGTTTGTTGGCCTCACGTATGTCTTCTTTTGAGAAGTGTCTGTTCATATCCTTTGCCCACTTTTGAATGGGCTTGTTAGTTTTTTTCTTGTAAATCTGCTTTAGTTCTTTGTAAATTTTGGATATCAGCCCTTTGTCAGATGTGTAAACTGCGAAAATTTTTTCCCAATCTGTTGGTTGCCGATTCACTCTAATGATTGTTTCTTTTGCTGTGCAGAAGCTGTGGAGTTTGATTAGGTCCCATTTGTCTATTTTGGCTTTTGTTGTCAATGCTTTTGGCGTTTTGGTCATGAAGTCCTTGCCTACACCTACGTCCTGAATGGTTTTGCCTAGATTTTCTTCTAGGGTTTTTATGGTGTTAGGTCTTATGTTTAAGTCTTTAATCCATCTGGAGTTAATTTTCGTGTAAGGTGTCAGGAAGGGGTCCAGTTTCTGCTTTCTGCACATGGCTAGCCAGCTTTCCCAACACCATTTATTGAACAGGGAATCCTTTCCCCATTGCTTGTTTTTGTCTGGTTTGTCAAAGATCAGATGGTTGTAGAAAGGTTGTGTTGCCTCCGAGACCTCTGTTCTGTTCCATTGGTCTATATCTCTGTTTTGGTACCAGTACCATGCTGTTTTGATTACTGTAGCCTTGCTAAAAAGAAAATGTGTCACCTGAAAAACAGACCTGAGGACATAGCTCTGTGTATTTTAGAGTTAATTTAAAAAAAAGAGAAAAAGCAAACAGATGTGGATGGTAAATATGAGTTACGTGTGCATAATCCACATTATACTCATGGAATAAAGAAAATGGGACAAAACAGTATCTAGAATCTTCCATTCTTAAGAAAAATCAAGACGTCTCAGATTAGAAATTGGATTATTTGCAGATATAAATGCCTCAAGCCTTTCTCATGCTCAACATAAATGATATAAAATATTAATTGTGGCTTCAAGTGTTTGCAAACTAAGAATACACTCATAATTCAATAAGGTTGTGAGGAAGTAAATCCTCAAAATGTTTCATGATCATCTGTTTAATTTATTATACTTTTCGATACTTGCTTTTACTCTCTCCCAAATTATACTGTTCACTTATTAGACTTAGAAGCTTGAGTTTAATAATTGAGTTAGATTAATACATAATTCACAGAAATGTTACCAAGGAATTGTCCTAGCCATATAATGGCAGTCCTACAAATAATTCTTTAAAGTTTTTAACCTCTCTTTTCCCCCAAACAGATGAATTTCCAAACTTTTACATGGCTCCTGAAAATGTCACCAGGGTCACTGAGTTTATTCTCACAGGTGTCTCTGACTCTCCAGAGCTCCAGTTTCCCCTCTTCCTGGTCTTCCTGGTGCTCTATGTGCTGACCATGGCAGGGAACCTGGGCATCATCACCCTCACCAGTGTTGACTCTCGACTTCTGACCCCCATGTACTTTTTCCTGCGACAACTGGCTATCATCAATCTTGGCAATTCTACTGTCATTGCCCCTAAAATGCTGATTAACTTTTTACTAAAGAAGAAAACTACCTCATTCTATGAATGTGCCACCCAACTGGGAGGGTTCTTGTTCTTCATTGTATCGGAGGTAATCATGCTGGCTTTGATGGCCTATGACCGCTATGTGGCCATTTGTAACCCTCTGCTCTACATGGTGGTGGTGTCTCAGCGGCTCTGTCTCCTGCTGGTCTCCCTCACGTACCTCTATGGCTTTTCTACAGCTATTGTGGTGTCATCTTGTGTATTTTCCATGTCTTATTGTTCTTCCAATGTAATCAATCATTTTTACTGTGATAATGTGCCTCTGTTAGCATTATCTTGCTCTGATACTTACTTACCAGAAACAGTGGTCTTTGTATCTGCAGCTACAAATGTGGTTGGTTCTTTGATTATAGTTCTAGTATCTTATTTCAACATTGCTTTGTCCATTCTAAAAATACGTTCATCAGAAGGAAGAAGGAAAGCCTTTTCTACCTGTGCTTCACATATGATGGCAGTCACAATTTTTTATGGGACATTGCTATTCATGTATGTGCAGCCTCGAAGTAACCATTCATTAGATACTGATAAGATGGCTTCTGTGTTTTACACACTGGTCATTCCTATGCTGAATCCCTTGATCTATAGCCTAAGGAATAAGGATGTGAAGTCTGCTCTACAGAAATTCATGACAAATCAGTGCTATCCTTTAAAACAATGTAATTTTAAATGGTACAGATAAATAAGGAGAGAGTTAATAGAAGCTGCCATTATGTGAGAGAAAATGTAGGAAAAAGAAAAGGTAGGTATCTGACTTACAGGTTCCTAAGCAATCGTAGGAATTACAAGATAGAATTTAGGAGCCTTAAATTAAAAAAGAAACTGAAACTCTTTGAGTTGTGAGGTTAATGTAGAAAAAAAAATGTTATTCACCAATTCTGCCTGGGATTAAGCAGGTAGAGAGTTTGAAATAAAAATGGTTTCCAGCAGTTAGAAAAAATATAAATTAAAAAATATAAATAAGTTTGAATGAAGCAAAATAATATGGTGAGAGAAGTAAAGTTGACTTTGTTATACTTTGGCTTCATTCACTGGCCTCCAGGTATAGCTGGGTATAATAAATTAATTCATCTTGAAAAATTGTAATTACAGATGATTAAGATCCTTTTCTTCAGCTAAGTTATTAAAATTGAACCAACAATCATATTTAAAATAAAATTTTCTAATGATTTCATAATTTTGCTTAAAGAATGAAATTCATACTATTAATGAATTTGTATTTTAAATGCTAATCAGAATAACATTAAAATAATTTTATTCCTCTTAATATAATTTATACAATTTTTAAATGATAGACACAAAGTATCATATTTAATATATTTTTCACGCTGGATTATTTATAAACTTTATGGATTCTGTAAAAATGTCTCCTTCTCCTTACTCTAAGTATTGTTCTTCTTTAGTGTACAAAATGAATGCCTTGTGTTGTGATATTATTAAGTGAAACGTGTTAATGAAAGGTTCTTACATAATTGGAATAAAATAAATTCATTTTATAAAAAATTTTGTTCTGCTTTCTGATAGCTCTTGTTCACTGAGTGTACATTTAAATCTCTGGTACTGCTTTGAATATAAGAGGGAACCCAGCTATATCTCAGAATTATCAAATCAGAATCATAAGATCAAGGTCAATAAATTTATATGTTCATAAGCTTCATGGGGGATTTTTGACATAGAGCCTTAAGAATGAATTTTGAGGTCGGATGCAGTGGCTCATGCCTGTAATCCCAGCACTTTGGGAGGCTGAGGCAGGTGGATCACTTGAGGTCAGGAGTTCAAGACCAGCCTTGGCAACATGGTGAAACCCCATCTCTACAAAAAATACAAAATTAGCAAGGCATGGTGATGCACGCCTGTAACCCTGGCTACTCAGGAGGCTGAGTCAGGAGAGTTGCCGGAACCCGAAAGGCAAAGGTTGCAGTGAGCTGGGATACTTCCACTGCACTGCATCCTGGGAGACAGAGTGAGACTCCATCTAAAGAAAAATGAATGAATATTGACAAAGAACCGTACTGAACAAGATATATTACATTCTATGTGTATGTTCACTTTATTTATAAGTGTGTTTCAGTGGAGAAGAGTTTCAAGTATAGGGAGTAAATCTTAAGTCCGGATAATTACAATACATCAAAAGAAATGTAAGAGGGTGGAGCTAGATGTTGGAATAGGAGTCTCCAAGGATCACTCTCCACAGAACCATCAATTTGAACAAAAATCCATGCACAAAAATATCTTCACAAGAGCTAAGGAAGCCAGGTGGAGTCTGCAGCACCTGATTAGAGCATAGTAATAAGAAAAGATGCATTGAAGAGAGTAAGAAGACAATTTTACATCACCTACATCATCTCTCCTCCAAACCCAGGAAGCACATCATAGACAGACACATCGTCTGCTTCGGAAAAAGAAAAGAAAGTGAGCATAGGATATGTTTTTGTCCCCAACACTGGGACTGCTATAGTTAAATCTAGCACCTGGCAGTCCCTCATGGATCCAGGCTGGTAACTCTTGACTGAGGTATTAGCATCCTGCAGACTGAATCTCCTGGCCTATCCTCATGCCAGTCATGAACCTGTAGCCGTGGAAAATGTACCTGATATCTTGCCTCTATCACAGATGGCTGACTACATTGATCTTGGGTTCTGGCCAAATCAGGCCTTAGTGGCAGTGGACTTTGATTGTACTCCAGTGCTGCATCAGGCTCAACAGTCACCAGGATTCCAGCCTCGAAATGCAGTGACCACAGCAGTCTTGGGTTTAGGGTACCACCTAGTACTGCAGCAGCTACTGTGGTTACAGGATTAAGGACAATGCCATACAACCTGCCCCAAATTTGTAAGCAATCCTACAGTTTAAGAGAGTCCTCAGAAAAGAATTTTCCCAAACTGTGAAAACCAAAATAAATAATAAGTCTCCCATCAAAACAAAGCCCAGGACTCGATGTCCTCGCTGCCTAATTTTAACAAACATTAAAAAGAAAACTAATACCAATTCTCAAACTCTTCCAAAAGTTTAAAGATGAGAGAATATTTCCAAACTCATTTTGCAAGGCCAGCATTATTACCCTGATACCAAAACCAGAAAAAAGACACAAGAAGAAAACAAAACTCCAGATCACTATCCTTGAGAAACATACATGCAAAAATCCTCAACAAAATACTAGTAAACTGAGTTCAATAGCATACTAAAAAGATCATCTACTAAGATCGAGTGGAATTCATCCCAGGAATGCAAAGATGGTTCTCCATATGCAACTCAATAAAAGTGATACATCATGTTACCTACCAGAAAGAAGAACAAAACCATATGATCAATTCAATATAAACAGAAAACACGTATGACAAAATTCAATATCACTTCATGATAAAACTCTAAACATATTAGTATAAAAGAAATGCAACAGAATACAATAAGAATCATAAGAATAAGAATCCACAGCTACTATCAAAGACCCAGAAAAAATGCTAGATCTTATTTATTCTTTCTATTTTTTGCACCTAGTAACTATCCTCACCTCCCCACTTGTCCCCCACTACCCTTCCCAGCCTTTGATAATCATCGTTCTACTCTGTACCTCAGTGAGTTCAATTATTTAATTTTTAGCTCCCACAATTAAGTGAGAACATGCAAAGTTTGTCTTTCTGTGCCTGGCTTATTTCACTTAGCATAATGATCTCCAGTTCCATTCATGTTGTTGCAAATGACAGGACCTCATTATTTTTTTAATGAAAAAATAGTACTTTCTTCGTTAAATACAATAACTATTTATCAATTTAAAAATTATTATTTAACCTAGTGTGAAGTTAAATTAATGGAATATCATTTTTATATGTTCATGTAACCACACTGGGCATTTCTAGTGAAGGAGAACAAGTATCCTTTGAAATTAATTTACAAAAAAATGTTTGGACCTCTGCACTAACTATGTACCCAGTGCTATAAAGAATGTCCTAGAAAATGCTTGATTTTATTTGGACCCTGAAGTAAAGAGTGAATGTTAAACCACTCTTTGTGTAATAATAAAGTTGTATCCATGTTCCTTTCAGACAAAATGTGTCGAACAAGCTAACAATAGTCTGAGTACAACTTTTTGGGAAGAAATTTCTGAATAGCTTTTACTATTTTATTGGAGACAGGATCTTGCTCTGTCACCCAGGCTTGAGTGCGATGGTGTGATCATAGCTCACCGAAACTTCAAATTCTTACACCCAAGAGATCCTGCCCCGCCTCCCAAATAGTTAAGACGGCAGATATGCATCACCTACTATGTTTTTTTTTTCTTGTTGTTTGTTTATTTATTTGCTTTTGTAGAAACGGGATCTCACCATGTTGCCCAGGCTGGTCTCAAACTCCTGATCTCAAGCAATCCTCCCACTTCAGTTTCCCAAACTGCTGGGATTACAGGCATTAGCTGCCATGCTCAGCCTGAGTATTTTTCTTAATCTTCAGAAGTTTCTTCATAAAAGCATTGAGTAGATACTTTCCAATTCTCTCTGTTTTATACCTCCTCTCTCTTGTGAAATAATTTGCATGGGTTTCATCTATTACTTTCCTTTATTGCTCACCTTAAAAAATATAAAAAATAATAAGATAATGCCTACAGCAATAAATCAGACACTGTGAATTTACCATAGTATCTGTGAATATTTAGACACCATAATAACTTTTTTAAATAGAAAAGGGTGACTATGTAAAATAATTATTTATTAAAAGAAATGAGAAGACTTGCTTGAAAGGAGGGATAAAAGGGCAGAGTTAAGTAGGTAAAACACATGGAATTATTTCCTGTAGTCAAACTATTCAGTATGATATAATACCATAATGGTGGATAAATGACACCATCCATTTTTCAAATACCCATAGAGTAGGTTTGAGGAATACTCATTTAGTATGTTTGAGGAACCTGAAAAGGAATGCAGAATGTGACAAAACAATATATTGTATTAAAAATGCACAAAACTTGCCAGGCGTAGTGGTTCATGTCTTTAATCCCAGCACTTTGGGAAGCCAAGGTGGACAGATCATTTGAAGCCAGGAATTCGAGTCCAGCCTTGTCCACATGGTAAAACCCTGCCTCTCCTAACAGTACAAAAATTAGTGGGAGTGGTGGCCTATGCCCATAATACCAGCTACTCAGGTGGCTGAGGCAGGAGAATAACTTGAACCCAGGAGGCAGAAGTTGTAGTGAGCCGAAATTGTGCCACTGCACTCCAGCCTGAAAGACAGAACAAGATTCTGTCAATAAAAAATCATGAAACTATTTCCCTGTAAATGATGGAGTAAATGTGCTAACCTAAGTAACATCTAAAAGAGTGTAAAAATTAAAGGCAGAATGAACTATACATTACTCTGTAATTATAAAGTTGTTTCTCATAAGGATCTGTTTCAACAATTCTGAAACCAATATGGTTGTATACTAGAACTGAACAGTTAAATAAATGAATGGCAGGTAGTTGATCCCACATTTCACATTATTGGAGTAGGAGGTTACAGATTAGCATGGAGAGTATTCTAGAGTGATCCATGTGATAACCAATTAGTGTTAACGATGAAATGAACTTATTCTCAGCTTAATATATATACCAGACAGAAATAGTTATAGGTAGGTATATACAACATATATGAGAGCATATCCACATTTCTACCTCCTTGATCTGTCAGCTGAGAAGGCCTAAAGACATGTGAACAATTCAGTGCAGCAAACAGACTTAGAACCCAAATAATAGTTTCTTTTTTTTTTTAAAGGAACAT